ATATTATTTGTTTGTAGTGTTTTTTATATTTTCTCTTCCTTGAAAATTCTGGCAAAATGATCGTCGGAAAGAGTTCTATCAAATCAATTAAATGAGATTACATAAACGATTTATTTTATTAATCAATCAATTGATAATAAAAAATAAAAAAATTCAAATAATTTTTTTTTTTCAATTATAAATGATCAACTATTTTGCGTAGGAAGAAACAAAAAATTTTTTTAAATTATGTCACCTCTTATTTATTATTATCATTTTTATTTTATTTTTTTTAAAAAGAAATAATAATTAAATAGTATTTTTAACGCACCTGTGTTTTGGCGCATTGGTTTTATTGGTGACAGATAATGGAGTGACAAATATGGTTTTCACATTCTAAGTTCCCAAGATTTATAATAAAAATTGATATTCGGCAGGCGTGACACAGAGTGACAAATTTTACCCGCATTTAGTCATATGATAAAAATTTATGAAATTCAACCAATAAAGTAGCCCATGCGCCATAACGCATGTGCGTTAAAAAACAAAACCCAATTAAATAATCCTTATTCTAAGAAGATGTAATTTCCTCCTCTTTTCTCTTTCCTCTACCCCTCGCTAATTCTGATCATCATATTTTTTCATCTAAAATTGAGACTTTTTCTATGGCTAAAAAATTTTAACGTTTAAAATATAACTAAAAAATATTGAATATTAAAATTTTTTTTAAAAAAAAATTATTAAAAATATCAAAAAAAAAAAAAAAATTCTTTTTAATAACAACTAAATTTTGACGTAAGTCTATGAGCTTTAGATTGGCTAAGAAGTATATAAAAAAGAACTGTAACTCAATATAAATACAAAGTATTATTATATTTTAAAATTTTGATATCAATCACAATTGTAGTTGAAAAATTTGTTCACAATTAAAAAAATAAATATGATTTATGTATGTGGTCTCAAAGAAAAGATTCGAAATAATGTGACTCATAGTTAAATAAAGAATTAATTAGTGTATATATGTATACATAATAATGAAATAATATATATGTATATGTGTATATATAACAAACAAATAACAAAGATGGCTGAATTAGCAAATACTAAATCATATCATATCCTATATATAGATATAAAGTTTTAGTAATTGTCTGTTTATAAATATAATTGGGATCTATGATAATACGTATCACATCTACTAATCTACAACACGGGTAATCACTAGTATGTGAACAACACAAAGCTCTCACATTATCTTATCTTATATATATTAATTAACAACACAAACCTTCTTATTGTCTTATATATGTTCATAGAAAAAGCTGTTTACATTGTACAATCCACAAAAAAAAATATATTATCTTATATATGTAATTAATAAATTTCGTTCCTCCGTTACTCCGCGGAGGAAACTAATAAATAGGGAGGGAGGAAGAAGGGAGAGAGGGATTAAATCTTTTAAGTCTAACATATTATGGAGTTAAACTTATTTTCGAAAAAGAAAATTCAAGGTTTATTACTTTTGACTCTGATATATTCTTTGTCAAAAACCGAAGCTGGCTCTCAATTTAGATCATGTTCATATTCTCCCGATTTTTACAAAGTGCTCGTTTCTTTTACCACCAATATTACTGATAAGCAAAAATTTTGTTGTACTGGTTCTCAATGTGCTAATTTGTCTCCCACATGTCCCTTATGGGGAGGAAATATTCGAGGGCAATGTGAAACGGTTGGTGAATCGAAATTTTGCGTTACTTCTCTTGTAAGTACAGCACGTCATCCAGGGGAATTATGCGGAGGAATTGTAAACGATGTTGTTTCTACCAATGCTACCGTGGGGAACTGTCCCAGCTGCGAAGCAGTTGGAAGTACTTTAATGAAGGCTCAAAATTTTCCTCCAGATTTTAGTTGGTTATGTTGTGATGAATATGCTTGTACAGAACCGATAAATGTCACAGTAGATGCTACGTCTCATGCTGCTAAAACTAATTGTGATAATGGTCAATATAGCATGATGTGTTTTTTAGATAATGGGAGTTGGAGTTGTACTGGAAGCATTACCCCTGATATCAATGATATTACTGAACCGATTGGAGATTGCGCAATGCAAGTAGTTTGTCCTGGCATGTGAGCACACTTTCTAATAGAGGATACACAAACAATCGTAAACAAGCAACAACGGCTAGTTATTAACACTTCGTATTACATTTACTTCGGTATTAGTATTTGTTCTAAAACTATTGGTATTTCTTTGTCAAATGTTAGGGTATTAGTTCATATTGTTCCATTTATATTTCGATATTTCGGTTTGATTATTATTATTACTACTACTATCATCATAAAATGTTCGCTTGATATTCATTTTCTCAATTGATTATCCATTTTCTTGTTTATTGATTAATTAATTGTATCGATTAATATTCTTATTCTATAAATATGTCACTTTCCTTTAGCATTTCTCCTATACTTTATAATATTATTACCCATAGAATTTATCGAGTAACGTAATGCTATTATTACTTGAGACCCAGAGTAGATACCTAAGTAGCTTCTTTCTAAATTGTATTAAATAATTTCCCAATTTTAATAGCTCTAGAACCTTTATATTGTTATAGTAGTACCCTGGCATTATTTTGCATGTTTATCTAATGTAAAATATACTTGAGTCTTCCCTCTAAATAAAACAAAGCAAATTTTAATATCAAATTAAAAAAAAATAGGTTGATCTGATCTACCTTTTGTTCTCTGAGATTTTTATTGTATAATTAATAATAACCATTATATTGATTTATAACAATAAAAGGTAAAATATTAGGCTTGGATCAAAAATGAACATCAAAAGAAAGATGAATTTATTTTTAGCAATTATAATAATTAATTATCGCAGGGTCAAAGAATAGGAGCAAACGGTATGATATTCCTTAATTATCATCAATTGTTATCATAAATTAAATTTCTACGTTAAAATAAATTAGTAAACAATTTCTTTCTTAATAACATTATCATCACCATCATTCTAATATTACTATAACAGATAAGCAAGGTAACACTAGTCTTTCGTATTATATAAAACTAGTTAACACTGATCTCATTTTCATCAATACATCCATCAACCTACTTAACATAACTAGGAAATGGCAAACCATTGTTATTCCGGAGCATATTAATTGGATAAATTATTTATATTTTCATTTGTGTAGTCTCGTGTTATTTGTTTAATATTTTGAAATCTCATAAGGTATCCATTTTATTACTTTATAATTATCAGCATTTAGTTGAGTATCTTGAATAAATTCATCGATCGTGTCATTTCTACTTGTCCATTTATTAAAATCATTTTTAAAATGTATCGAGTTGCACGATTTGCACCAATAATCATAATATTCTTCATTGCATTCTGAGCATACATCAGGTATTTTCCGTTCGTTTATGGTGTGAAGCTTATTTTTTTTTTTAAAAAAAAAAATCAACTAATAAATTTGTAATAAATATAGATATGTATAATTTAAAAAGGAAATTTATGATTCTTATCAGTTTTCTTAATTAGGCATTTTTCCTATATGTAATTCTATTCTTACCTTTAGGAATTTTTTAGAAACATCATAACGTTACTATTCTAGGTGTAATTCTATAAATTGATAACTATACTGAGTAGTAAACAATTTCTTGTATCATTAATTAAAAACAAATTAAAGCCTAATTTTCTGAGTGGGATATTTTGAATGTTTGTTGTTCCGGTTTTTTTACGATGCGAGTCAAGGTTACGGAAATTTTCGAAATTTTTTGAGAAGTGTTGTGTGATATAGCCTGGAAATTATTTTTATTATAAAATAAGTTTCTCCTATTTTTATTTTAGAATATACTGAATTTAATGATTTTTTCTTTAGTATTTGAATTTAAAAGCAGGGTTTACACAGTTGTGAGACAGAAACACCGATTGTCGTTTTATCTCTTGTTATTGATACATTTATATCCAGAAACAACTCTTGATCGCTTAGTTACTAAATATTAAAAGATAAAATATTAGCTGAAATAATTATTTAATTTATAGATAAATAAATTTTTTTCTTGCTAAAAAAAAATAACCAAACGAAAAAATGTTCTTTTTTTAATTATTTTCATTTTCGTTTCATCGACATCAGTTCCCATCACGATAAATCTTCCTAAAACGATCCATGATGTTATCACTATTATCACTATTAATATCTTTTGGATAGAAAGTTGTAATGTGAAGAAAAATCTTGGCATTTGGATATTTATGAAAAACAATTTCAACGGCACTAACAACAAAATTAGATTTTATAATAGATCATAAAAAATTTTTAATTTCCGAATATGATCTATTTTTTTTTACAAAAAAAATCTGATGTATTCAAAAACTTTTGTCATTAGAAGATTTTCTAAGGCAACTAAATTATCCATCAATCAACTGAGATTACAACCGATTTTATCAATCAATCAATTAAATAAAAAATAAATAAAAATAAAAAATAAATTATTTATTCAAAATAATTAGGAAGAAGCAAATTTTTTTATTTTATTTGATTATTAAATAAATTCCATTCTAAGAGGAAAGAATTTCCTCCTTTTACTCTTTATCTATCTCTCGCAAATCGTTTGTCTTTGGTGAACATCATATTTTTTTATCTTTTTCGATATTCTAAAAATTTTTAACACGATTCGATTCGATTCAATTTGTAAAAACAAACTTAAATTTTTTTTAAAAAAATTATTACCAATAAGTTGTAAAAAAAAAAAAAATCCTTTTTAATAACAACTAAATTTATTTGCTTTTTTTGATGTAATTCTGAGTTTTAGATTTTTATAACTCAATTTTTTGCTGATAAAGGAGAATCTTTGCAAAAGTGTTCACAAGTATATAAAAAACCAAGTATATAAAAAAGAACTGTAACTCAATAAATACAAAGTATATTAAAATTGTAGTTTAAATTCAATAAAGATTTAAAAAATTATTAATTTTATTTATATGTGTATATCAAAGCAGTGTTCGATGTGCGGAATGTTTGCACGCAAAATCTATAGAATTCTAAATTGTGTAAATTCCGCACAAGATTTAAAAACACGAAGAATTAATTTAGTATATATGTATGTATATATCATAAATAAAATAATATATATGTCATATCATAATAAATAATATACACCAACCTGCCAAAAGTATCCGGGCAACAATTTTTTTGTCAAATTTTTAAAAAATTTTAAGGATGAATTA